AATGCATATCTGGATGGTGAATTTTCCCGGAAAGCTGGAGCAAGATAGGACTTACTGAGATGGCAGTTTTAGACTGCAAGTAAGCCCTTTGGTGGCACAAAAAGGGCTGCTCGAGGCCAACTTTTCCTGGAATTGCCAAGCAATTTGGTAAAATCGTTTTTATTTGCGTTTTCCCGGATTCAATTTATTTGGGAAATATTAAATAGTTTTGCTGTGATTATCAGCGATCTTACAAACATGAATGTTTCGGAGCAAATAGACGAAAGTAGGAAACTACTTGCAACTACGTGCGACTGGACTGTAGCCGGTGCTTAAGAAAACATTTCCCAGACCTCAACGACCACAAAAAATGTTCCAATCCACGCTTCAACTTCCCCGGCCGTTCGAGAGAAAAAATCACTTAAAATTTGTTTCGCAAAACCGAACTGAATAAATAACATCAGCAAGCCAAATCTTTTTAGACGCCGTTTTTATTTGAATCCCGCCTTTGCTGAGGACATTTCCCGGATGATTTTCCTGAATTTATGGACCGTAGAACATTTTTTTTGCGAATAATAGATTCCGCATAAGCGACCGAAAATTTTGCGATTTCAACATGAAAACTGTACGGTAAGTGACTTTTGCCCGAAAGGGAAAAATTGCTTGGTTAGCTGTTGAGGAGCAACAACGCAACATCATCTACAAGTTATTCGGAAAAAGTTCCTTTTGCACAATCTGGGGCGCACAAAATTCGTTATTGTTTGGAATACTTCAGATGAAAATCGGCAGGCAAAAGCTTTATTCCTTGTGCTACTTAGCATAACGAACCCGGCGAGTTTTCTTTGAGAAAGTGAAAACTTGATAAAGCCTGGAAGAAGGATTTACGTGGATGTAAAAAAACTGAAATTGACATCGACCTGTGTGTTATGTGATGGCATTATGGAGAAAAATCATAATCAGGCAAGGTTGCAGGCTATTTTGAAAGAGCCTCGATAAAGTGTGCGGTTTTTAATCATTGTTTTCTCTGGGACGGTCAAAGAATAACAATCTCTGAAATCCGTGAATGAATAAGTTATTAACCTTGCTTAAATTAAAGAGATTTTTAATAACCAGCCAAGGACAAGTATTATAATTGGCACAGGTTCCAATGCCAAAGCCGATGCGCTTAGGTTATTAACTTGTCGTTACACACCTTTAGTTATGCACTCTCTCTCGGGTTTTTGTTGTCTATAAATACGTTGTCACATGCGTTATTTATAGTGCCGTTTTGAATATGTACAGACCATGAACATGTTTTGCTCGGTTTTCAATTTTCAGAAGCCAAAATGCCCTGACTTTTTCCATTTAATCTCAGTTAATAATAAAAATGTATGGTTGAACGCAAATGCAACCTTTCCAACAATAATTCACAGCTTCCGATCTGAAATCAGTAGCGACTTGAAATTTTCCCAATCAATAGAAAGCACTTGAATCTGAAAACACTGAAAAATTCATTCAAAATACATCAGTTGTTGACTTTTGCGTTATTTGTGAATGTTGGCCTAAAACTGTATGTTTGAACGCAAATGCAACCTCTCCAACAAAAATTCACAGCTTCCGATCTGAAACCAGTAGCGACTTGAAATTTTCCCAATCAATAGAAAGCACTTGAATCTGAAAACCCTGAAAAATTCATTCAAATTGCATCAGTTTGTGATTTTTGCGGATTTGTGAATGTTGGCCTAAAAATGTATGTTTGAACGCAAATGCAACCTCTCCAACAAAAATTCACAGCTTCCGATCTGAAACCAGTACCGACTTGAAATTTTCCCAATCCATAGAAAACACTTGAATCTGAAAACCCTGAAAAATTCATTCAAATTGCATCAGTTTGTGATTTTTGCGGATTTGTGAATGTTGGCCTAAAAATGTATGTTTGAACGCAAATGCAACCTCTCCAACAAAAATTCA